ATATTTTTTATGTTCTATAAGCTTTTTTGTGTTTGCCTCGATAATTTTTAATTTTTGGAAAAATGATAATCGAGGTCCACATCATAGATAAAGAGGATAATAAGAGGGAAAAGAGATTTGGGAGGATAAGGAGGATTAATATATACATACATACTTTGATCATTTTCTGAAAATTATTTTGAAATTTTATTAAATCGATTTTTAACAAAAACATACACGTATTTGTTCTTCTTTGAGTTCAAATTCTTTAGATAATTCAGTAATATCATAGTTAGTATGTGGTGGTATTCCATAAATTAATTTATCTAATTTAATTTCCTATAATTTTTTTAAAATTTAATATGAATTCTGTTTAAAAACAAACATATTTTGTCAATTCAAGTAGCTCTCCACCTATTAAATTTTTAAATTTTATTTTTACGTATTTTATAAAGCGACTTGGTCCCTGAGTCGCTTCGAATGACCAAGCGACTTGGTCATTCGACTTGGTCTCTGAGAATCAAACCGTCCTCACTAAAAGTCAAACATTCAAATTACCTTCCAATCTAATCCCTTCCTTTAAATTATCAATTTGTTTTTTAATTTCCATTTTTTCGTCCTCATTACCCTTTATTTTAATATAACTTTCCAATAATTTAATTTTATATGCATTTAAATTAATTAATGTCCAATGATTTTTTTCCAATTCTTCTTTGTAAATTTTTATTTTTTCTTTTGGTGTAATTTTGGATTTTGTTTCTATATGCTTATTGTTTTCTAAAATGCTGATTTCACATTCGAATTTAGTTAATTTTCTTTCAATTGCCTTAAATATGTCTTTAATAATTAAAAATTACGCAATTTAGAACTTCGCCCCTCCCCATTTTAGATATTTCTCCAAATCCTCTGATATCTCTCCGAATCAACCTTAATCCCTGTAAATCCCCGATATTCATCTATCGCTTATATCCACCGATATCCTCCTCAACCCTTAGCGCCGCAGGCGAAAATTTTGGGGATTACGTAAAGCCAAAAATTCAGAGTTCTTTCTTTTATGGAAATAATTTCTAAGAAAATTTCGGTTTCGGGTCGGATATTGGTTTTCTTTCGGTTCGGCATCAGTTGTGTAAGGTAGAAAATTTTTGTTATGTTACTTGTTTTAGCAATGGACAAATTAATTCATCAACAATGCCATCTTTGGTAATCTCTATTTCTGGTGAATAATAATTCACTTTTCTATATACTAAATAATAATTTATATCCTTATTTGTTTTTAAATATTCTCCAATTAAATTTTTGAAATAAAAACGTTCTTCTGGATTTTTATTTTTTAAATAATTATATTCTCTCTTTTCTAACCAATCTGAATTAATTTTTACTTTGATTTCATTATCGTTTGCCAAAATGTTATAATTTTTTAAATAGATTATAAGTAAAATAAAGAATATATAAATAATATTCATTTCATTTTAAATTAACAAAAAAAATTTTTTAAAGTAAAATTAATAAAAATCAACAAATGCGATAGAGAAATTATTGGGAAAGAGGTCTCTCGTGATTTGTATGTTATTTATTGTCGCATGATTCAAAGCGGCTTTTCACGTACATATTAGTGATGTTCGAGAGTCAAAAAATCCCGAGAGTCGAGAGTCGAGACCGAGACCGAGAATCAACCCCGAGACCGAGACCAAAACGAGAGTCGAGAGTCGAGACCGAGAGTCGAGACCGAGAGATTAAGAGGGATATCACTTGATGTCCCTCCTAATCCCCAAAAATCCCTTGATATACCTCAAAATCCCCATACTCGCTTGAATCCACTTGTCCACAATATATATTCAATGATATTCACATTAATCTCTTAAAATCCCCTCATATCCTTCCATATCCCTACAAATCCAACAATATCTTTTTGATCCATCGATGCACCCATCCCTTGATATTAAATTTTATCCTTCAGAATCCACAGTATCTAATATACCACAAACCACAAAATCTAATCCTTTAATCTTATTAAATTCAAATTTTTGCTGCATTTTTGGCGCCGCAGGCGAAAATTTTTTGAATTTTGGAGCTCAAGAAGCCAAATTTCCTCCATTTTCAGCGCCGCAGGCGAAAATTTTGAGAATTTTGGAGCTCAAGAAGCCAGATTTCTTCCATTTTTCAGCGCCGCAGGCAAAATTTTGGGAATTTTGGAGACTTTTCCTTAAAAATTTTAATATCAAAGTACGCAAGGTCCGAGTAAAGTTCAAAAAATTTCCGTCATTAGGGGTGTAAATTTAGTCTCGTTTTCCGAGACCAAAACACCGAGACCGAGACCGAGACCGAGAGCTCAAAAAACCCGAGAAATTTCTCGACTCGAGAGTCGAGACCGAGAGTCTCGAACATCACTAGTACATATGGACTTTATAAAAACAAGCTGTTTTCAAAAGGCGGCGCATTGCCCTTTTGTTATTTTTGACGAAATTAACGCAAAAAACGCAAAGAATATGAGTGATCTGAAGAAAAAAATGGAAGAAATCTGGCCGTACAAAATTCTCAAAATTTTCACCTACGGAGTTAAAAGAAGAAAGCCTTTATCTGAATACCAATATTCTGCAATCATGGAGAGGCTCAGAAAAACTTCAGCTCCGTATTCGGGTCTTTAAATCCACAATATCCCCGGCATCAATTCAAATTCACTGATATACATAATTTATTATCCTATATAACCCCAATTCACCTTATAATCCTTGCAATTCAGGGTATGCTAGAATGCCATCTTAATAAACTTTTGTTAGAAAAAATAATAGAAAATATTCTAGAAAATTTCTAAAAAAATATTGGCCTTCTAGAAAAAATAATCACACAAAATAATTTAAAATAATTTACTAAAAGTGAAATTATATATAAATTCAATCACCAATGTCAATCACAAAATTTTTAAGTAAATCTGTCAAGAAATAATTTATTGTTTCTCAAGAAATCGATTTATCACATCATCCAACGCCATTTCTAATGCTTCATTTGTGCCCTTTAATTGAAACACTACTTTCTTCGCCCAATTAAAATATTCCCGAGCGCCTTGCTTTCCAAAAGCCGGAGGAATGTGTCTTTCCAAATCACGCAAATTATAAAGTTTATCAGCCAACTTGACGAGTTTTGCCTTAATAAGGCGTAGAAAATGTTTTTAAAATTATTTATCGGTAATATCAAGGCGGTCCCCTCCCACCCCTTTTTTCTTCCTTAAGAAAGTGCATAATGGTCAATCCTTCTTTCTCAATTTCACTCACGTTTAAGCTTTTCATTGAAAGCGTTGTAGCTTAATGGAAGTTTTTCTTGAAGATTCGGAATAAATAGAGTGAAATTAATTGATCCAAACAAGTATTTGCGGCATATTTATGCGGACACATTTTTGCACAGGAATGGTCAAAGGCCTTCCTTCCTTGATTTTCTCAATTTTCCCTGTGGTATCATTCATTGAGAGCATCATTCATTGATACACTCCCCATTCGCCATACATAGAAAATGATTTTGAATGCCCATAAATATGTCCGCATAAATTGTCCGCAAAAATGAGTCCGCAAAACTACTTTGTGATAACCAATAAGTACCGAAATCTTTTTTCTTAAGAAAGAAAAAAAGTGAGGACTAGCCTTGGTATTACCTATTTGGTAATCTACTTTGTGTGAACATTTTGAAGCTTTTTCGACTTGCTCGTTTTTTCGTTCCTGTTTCGACAATTTTGTATTGTCTGTGCATTCAAGAACAATCTCTGCAATTTCAGTTCCAAATTCTTCTACTAACTCTTCAAATGTTGTTTTAGTATCCTCAATAGTATCATGCAAATAGGCTGCTGCAAGGGTTGCAGGATCGGTTATATTTCCAACACTTAAAGAATTTTGTTTATTAATAAGATGTGGAATTATAGCCAGTATGAGGTGTCTCAGGACTGGTGATGGGAATCTTGTAAAAGTTTAGTTCGCGTTTTCTTTTTATTTTTACCATTATCCCCAGCTTCTTTCAAAAGGTTCATAATGGTCAGACAGTAAATAGATATACCTATATAGAACACTTTAGAATTTTGGTTTATTAATAAGATGTAAAATAATATGGAAGTTAGAAATAGCCAGTATGAAAAAGTCTCAGGACCATAGCCATGATTTTTTTGGGAGGCCAAGTGGGGAAAATTTTTCCGCGCTGACTTTGGCCCCCTGGCTACGGGAGCCAAATCCCCTCTGGCTACGGGCTGCTCTGGACTGCTGAAGAGATTCTTGTAAAAGTTTAGTTTGTGTTTCCCTTTTTACTAAAATCCCCAGCCTCTCAAAAAATTCATAATGGTCAGACAATGGATAGAAATCTGAATCAATTTTATTAAAAAATTTATTTTTTAATCGAAAAGATGTAAAATGAAAATAGAGGAATTTTAAAAATAAGGGAACAACTGCCTAACTTCTACCGAAAATTTCTCTTGGGTTCCCCCCAAAAATCCCGACTATACATTCTTTAGGTAACAAAACCTCGTCAAAAGATAGGCAACTCCAACCGGATGGTTTATATAAGGTGTCCGGCCATCTCTTCTCATTTGAAAGCGATGTCTACGAGCTGCAAAATCTGCTGCTTTAATCACCTTAATCATATCCTCATTACTTTTAAGTTGCACATTTGGCTTTTCGTTAAGTTCCGGATAGAGATTAGACTTTTGAAAGCTCTCATTTTTCTCTTCCCCGTTCATCTAAAATAAATAAAATTTCACGTAAAAATTTAGCAAAACTATAAAAAGCACTAATAAAATGACAAAAAGCACTAATCTTTCTCTGCCGACTCTCCTAATTTTACCTACTCTTTTCTAAGAAAGGTTAGATTATCTAAAATTCATTTGGTCAAACAGTAAAAATTATAACCTTTTGTCTACTTATATTTAAGCCCTGATTTGCTGAAATTTTTATTTTTTACATAATATCAAATTTTTCATTTTTTTTCAACTTTTAGTTTCTACAACCTAATTATAAATATTCAATTATGGTTAAATACGTTTGGCTGAACTACAGTTTGATTTCATCTTGGGATGTTTCGGTGATTAATCAATTTAATCGAATTAATTAATCAATTAATCAAACCTGCGATGTCGCTGAGATGAAAAATCTGATAACTAACAATAAACATATCTTCATAACATTAAGTAATTTAGTGATTACCTAATGTGCCCATAACCACTTGTACTTTTAGGAGAAAAAGAAACAAAAGGAGAGTGGTGATGATTAACGGATAAATGCCAACAAAATTAGAAAAGACTTATTTCTGATGAACTGAATTTTCCTATGAATTAAATGAAGAGATTGGTCGAGCAAAATCAAGGTCTGAATATTTCTACAGGTTTTTAAAAATTCTTAGTTATGCAGTTGTGTTATGACCAAATGTTTCGTGGTCATTTTTCTGTTAACGTCGGCGGGTGTTTCCATGAATTTTGTTTGGAAGAAAAGTAGAGGTTTTATAAATGTTCTGTTCTAAAGGGAATTATGAATCGATTTTACTATTTCAAATTAATTATATTTTTAATTAAAATTATTTTGTCAAATATTTTTTAAAAATCCTGTCATATTTTTTGTCATAAATAGTAAATGATAACCAAAATAAAATTTTAAAATTATTTTAAAAATAAAAACAAATTTAAAAAAATTATTTTTTTTCTAAAATTGTGTTAAAAACATGGCTAAAAGGGGATTTTTAAGAGGGACATTTAAAAATGACAAAAATCAGTTGAGATAGTTATAAGTGAGGAGAGAGATCACAGCAAATATTTTTTACTTTAAGGCATTCTTCAATCATCTAAAAATTTAATTAAATATTAATTATTTTTAATTAAAAAATACCTGCAAAAGTGTCGTATAACCTCTCTACGACAGGTTTCACCTATAAAATTAATTAAATGTTTGGTTGGCAAAAAAATAAAATTATTTTTTTTTATTTTTCGATGACTCTAGAAAAATTTCTTAAACAAGGTTTGGAAGCCTAAAAAGGTTGATATGGACTAGCTATTCCCCTGCCCTTAAAACTAAAGGTTTCTATGTTTTTGGGATGACCCAATATCCTCAGTTAACCGGATTAGTGTATTATCCATTATAACAACGACGCATCCTGCGTAGCTTTAGTTAACTAAAAGATACAATAAAATTAAGAACCTTTGAGATAGTGTAAAAAAATCCCTATTTTTATCAGGACTACCGGATCCTGAAAATCCCGACCCGGAACCCAATTCTAATATAAAATGTCAGGTATTTGGATTCGGCATTGAACTCCACAAACTAGTGTTGGTAAAACGCGATTTTTCGGTATCGGTATTTTCGGTAAAATACCGATACCGAAAAAATACCGATTTTTTAAAAATTGTTCGGTACCGTATTCGGTATCGGTATTTCGGTAAAAATACGGCGGTATTACCGAAAAATACCGCCGTAATACGGTACCGTGACCAACACTACCACAAACATTTTTACTTAACCTTATCAAGCCTATAAGACTTTTAAAATTATAATTATTTTTACATTTAACATCGCAACACCAAACAAATTTGCATCGACAAGGTTCTTGACGGATTTCCTGTACAAAAATATTAATTACAAATTTTCTTATAAAAATTGCCTTTCTAGTATTCCACCCTTTAGAGCAACATATTTGTTCACAATCTGCTAGGGAAAAGCTAAAAAAATAAAAATTTTAGTCTAAAAAATTAATAGGGGAAACACCATTCACGTCCACTAGCACCACTTGAATTCTCATTTTCTAATAAACAATAGTCTGGAGATTCTTCCTAAAAATTTTATTATTTTAAGAAATATGCATGCTGTTTATTTTTCTATTTTTTTGAAGGTTGGCTGATCCGGATCCGAAAAAACCCGGATATTCGGAAATTCTCGGATACGATCCGATATCCAGGAATTTCCCAATATCCGCTAACCTTAATTCTGTAATAATTACCGTATATCCTAACTACCCTGGGTAATTATTGTTTCGACCTTTCGCTGGATGGGGAAGGAATATTGAAGGAGGAAAATTAATAAGGTTATATAAGAGTAAGAGTTAATTAAGTTTAATTATAGCCATCGGGGATTAACCGAACCTTTATTATGCTGAAAATGCTTGCTAGGCTTCGTGCAGCTGCCCTATAGGAAGGAGTTACATGGGTGGAGAGTTACACAGAAAAAGTAGCATTATGAGAGGATGAAGGAGAGCTGATTCCCAGGTTTCATGCAGCAACTCTATAGGAATGAGTTACCGGAGTGGGGAGGTAAAAAGAAAAAGTAGCATTATGGGAGAGAGAGGGAGATAGGCAAATTAATTTCTTAAAATATTTTTACGTAAGAAATTTTTTTTACCAAAAATACAAGCTCAGATCTACTAGCCAACTTTGCTTGTTGAACCTTATTTTTCAAAAAACGTTGTTCTCTTCTTGTATTAGCACTAGAAGTGCCTATTTGGGATAAACGACCGTCTAAAACGCTGCTTTCTTTTTTATCAACAATTAAAGTAAAACTATCAGATGCCAAAATAACCTAAAATTTTTATTCAAAAAATATTTTTTTGAATAAAAATTTTAAAGGTACTTGTTGTGCTTGTTCATATTTTTTCTTTATTAAAGAAGCAAGTTCTTCAAGTTTTGGGACAGTGCGCCAGCAAGTTTTCGTTACGCAAGAACTTTTAATTTAAAAATTTATTTTAGAAATTAATTGTTTTATTTTACTCACTTCAATGCTAAAACAGCTTTTTTCTGATCCCCTAATCTTTATTATCAATAAGAAGATAAATAGGTAGATTTTTCAGTGAATCCAATTACCTCTAAATTTATTTTCTTCTACATATTAGAATTGTTTGAAAAAATGGAATTTATATATTTTTCCTATCCCTTATTCAAATAAATTAAATTCTAAACTTCGAATTCACCTCTCATTAATGAGAAAACTGGGGACGCCCAAATTTAAGGCATGATTTAAGACGAGTTGAGAAAAAGGGTTCGTTTTGTTTTGAATTTTTTTCGGATCGTCTTTCAACCTTCGAATAAGTTCGGGAAACCCTACCCATCCCAGTGTAACTCTCATTCCTATCTGAAACAACATTTAATCCTTATTCTCATACTCAATTAAAATAATTAAAATTACCCGCTAACCCCATGGCATTTACACTGTTCTCGTACATTAGCCGCTAATAATCGTCTACCTACTCGATTATTATGTAAATTCATTAAAGCCCTAAAAATAATTTTTTAATAATTTGAAGTTAGTTAAATGCCTAGCATCCATAATTTGTTTTTCTGTTGAATCAATAAATTTTCTTGTAAACTAGAAAAAAAATTTCCAAAAAAATTTTTTTAATTACTTGATTTCCAAATTTAACATTATCCGAACAACCAGCCCAAATAAACTTGAAAAATAATTTTTTAGTTAAATTAAAATTTATTTTTAAGTTAAAAACTTGTTCAGGCCTCCCACTAAACCCTTCAGGTGCTGCACTTGTTACCTTAAAATTTTTTCAAATTTTTTTTTCTACTCTAAATGATACTGACATAAGTCTGTTCTCCTCCCCCACAACCGCATTCAGGTATTAATCCTCTAGCACACGCACGTGCCAAAGAATGGGAAGCGCCAGCTGATGATATTGCATAAATATAGGCGGTTTCTGCGGTTGCTGCTGAACAATAACAAATATTTTTGATAATTTTATAAATTTCCTTTACCCCCCTTCACAGGACCAACAACTCCAAAACTTGCCGAACAGTTCCATCGTTCCTTTAAAATGAGATATATGGTATAATTATACATTTTATCGTTGAGTATACTCCCATTAATATGTATATACAATTAATTTTAGTCTGTGTTTTTAGAGCTGTCCGAGAAGAAAATTTTTTCAAGTATCAAGAGCAAGACTTAATTCCTTATACCAAAGCCGAAAAGACTTTTGGACAAGTCTTGAGTAGGGTTGTTTCTCCGACGGGAGAGGATGTCAAGGGGATAACTTTTTCGGGGAAGGCAGCGCCACGAGGGGGGGGAGGTGAGGAACACCCTTAGTCTTGATTCAGGACTTGCGAAAAAATTTGGAAAGCTCTAGTGGGCGCCCACGATCTCTTATAATAATATGTGAATATTAAAAATAAATTTTACCCTCTGGAATTGAACATGACACTCATCAATAGCATTTCTTAAGCCTTCTTTAAAAGATGTTAAAAATTTTGAAAATTCATTTAAAATTTTTTCAAAATACCACTAATTGCACGCATAGCAGAAGGATGTTGCCTACAAATTTCACGTTGACGTTTGACAAGACCTGGCTGCATTTGACAGTTGTAGTAATCAGGAGCAGATATAGCAGAAGCAAGTTGGGCGGTCATTAACCTTTAAAAAAGTTTTTCAGAAAATTTCTTCTTAGGTAAAATAAATTAAAATTTCCAATCTATTTTAAAGCTTCCACAATTTCAAAATTATATTTTCTTTAAAGAGTTATACAGTTTAAGACTCAAATTAACCTAATTGACAGTTGTCTAAAAGTCAAAGTGTATTGACACGGGTAGCGTAAGTTACTCTGTGCTCTCTAACTAAAATGACCTTTTTTGCCTATCAGAATAAATTCTGATTTTCAAAAGCAAAATATAATAATTTCAGCTATTAAAATAGATACCTTTAAGAACTTTTTTATTTTTAAATTCTCTTAAAAATTGATTTAAAAATTTAGGTACTTATTGGTTATCCCTAAGTAGTTTTTGCGGACATTTTATGCGGACTCATTTATGTACGAAAAGGTCAAAGGTTCTCCCTTCCTCGATTTCACTCAATTTTCTCTGTGGCATTTTTCAATGAGGGCATCAATAAAGAAAAGATTAATTTTTTGAATGTCAACAAATATAAACAACACAAAACATTAGGATCAATATTTGAAGTATCAAGCTTTACTGGAAATAAGAGAGTTAATATGTACCAATACTGGTACACACACCAAACTTTAACAGGTTTTGATTTAGAAGCTGATGACTCATGTCATAAATAGACTGATATTTTCAAAGAAAGCACATCCCACGGACAAAATAGAACATAATCTAGAAAACTATTTTTGTCTGGACCTATTTCTGAACCAATTTTCCGGACCAATTTTTGTTTTGTCTGACCAATTTGGACGAATTGACAAAACTGTGTTTTGTCTGGTCTATATTTTGGAATCTTTTTCTTTATTGATGCCCTCAATGAAAAATGCCACAGAGAAAATTGAGTGAAATCGAGGAAGGGAGAACCTTTGACCTTTTCGTACATAAATGAGTCCGCATAAAATGTCCGCAAAAACTACTTAGGGATAACCAATAAGTACCAAAATTTATCTTAATTTTGAAAATTCTTAAAAAAATTTTTAAAAAATTTCAAAAATTTTTTTAAAAAATTTTTGAAATTTTTCGAATTTTTTTCCAAAATATCCAAAAAATTTTCTAATTTTATTAATTCTTTCTCTCCTTTTTTATTCTTAATTTGTCGTGTTTTTCAAATAAAAAAAAATTTTTTTGGTAGTAAAAGTTTAAAAATAAAGAGACAAGCCTCTAAAAAGGACAACAAAACTATTTTTGTCGTCTTCTGCCGCCTTTCCAAAAAAATAAATTTTTTATGACCACAATTTGGGGAAAACAATCAAGAAACATACGCGATCTTTTATTTTTTTATTGGGAAAGGGGAAAATTACCGCCAAAAGAAAACAATCCTTTTTTAAGGAAATTGATCATAAAAAAAGAAAATTAAATGTGCGCAGTTGAGAAATATTGGATAAAATTGAAAGAGGTATCAAAACAATTTGATTTTGAAAAGTTTGAAAAATAAAAGATTTTTTGAAATTTTAAATGAAAACAAATTTGAGGAAAAAATTTTAAAATAAAAATTTTAAATAGGAATTTATTTCTGAAAGTCAAGAGTGAATATTAGAGATAGAACCGAGACAAGATCTCCATTATATGACCCTCCCAGTCCGTTCATATATTGGAGATCAGGGGTCGACGGAAATTTCGAAGGTGCCGGAAATCGGAACTGTCGGAAATCGGAATTCCGATCGACCCTTGCCATACACATAATAATAAATAGTACACCTCGGTTTAGGAAATTCTTAAAATTTTAATTAGCCACTGGATGAGAGGGGGACTTATGTAGGCAATACCTAACCGATGATACATCTCATTATAAGCTGTAATTTTTTCAGCTTCAAAATACCTAAGTATCTAACATTAATTTATTTGAGGAGTCATTTTTGGAGTTATCCTTCTTTTTAAAGGGATTTAAAAAGGGGCAGCATGATGTAATATATGTATTTTATAATGTAATATTTTTATGTAATATTTTTTAATACTTCTCCATTATCTGCATAATCATTTTATGATCTTAAGCTGACTTACGTCTTTGATTTTATTAAAATTACAAGTTTCCATGAAAATTTTTTGACTCCATAAATTTTAGAAAAAATACAATGATGCCCTAAATGTATATTTAACCCGATAATAACTTCATTTAATATGTAAAAGTCCTCGCTATTTTATTTAAATAATTTAGTCAAATTTTAATTTTAAAAACAAACCAGGAACAATAGACGGGATGACAAAAAAGAATTAAAATAAATAAGAAAAGCTTTAATAATTTTAAAACAAAATTTATATTATTGTTGTTGGTATAAGACGAAAACATTATTTAATTTATTTAATTTAAAATTTCAAAAAAAAATCTTAAAAAGCTTTAAAAATTGATTAAACGAACTAACTGCCCGTTAAATTTTAGTAGACGAAAAATTATTTCAGCAAAAATTAAGTTTCCTAAAAATTTTTGTTGATTGGCCCCGTAGTATTTTCGAAAACAATTCCTTCAAGTTTTTAAAAATTAAATCCTTAAAATTACAAACTTTACATGACAAGGCGGATTTAATAAAAAGGAGAAGAAATTGGGCGGAAATGAAAGGAGGAAAGTGACTGGGAATGACATTGAACATGTTTTGTATAAAGAAATAAAATTAGAGAGGTTTTGAATCAAACCAATAAAGGTGCAATTTTTACAACATTGTGTGTTTCTGCCTAAAAAATTTATTTGAGAAAATTGGGAAAATAAAGGGTGTGGCTAAAAATAAGGGTTATAAATTAAATAGATACAGTAGACATTTGCGGACGTTTGCGGACATTCGAGTAAATTTGCGGACAAATTGAATCTAGACTTGATTGAGCCAAACAATTTTTGGAACTTATGGCCATAGAGTTTTTTAATAATTATATTTTAAGTTGAACTTTAAATATGTAGTTTTTATATTTTGTATAATATACTAAATAAAAAGAGATCCGAGGTTATTAAATGTTTCCCCATTTTCCAGCTTTTTAAAGATCTCTTTTTGATTTTCTATATTTTTGATTTAAAAACTTCAACTAACCAAAGATGGGATTTTCATTCCGAACTAAAATCTCGAAATACGAAATTTATAAAAAACCGGGTCTTTTCTATTTTGAGCGATAAATGTGGTGAGGGATAGTGAGGGATAAATAAGGGAGTTTATATAAGGGTTGTTGGTTTCGCAAAATTTTCTCGCTTAACCGAACCGATCCGACAAACCGAACTGAAATATTCAATTTGGATCGGGATGAAATTTAAAAAAATTAAAAAATTTTAAAAACGGGTTGCCGACCCTATATAACAAAACTGGACGATAGTAGAAGAACAGGCTACAATAAAATATTAATAAATAATAAACTTTAAATGAAGAAATAAACCATAGAAAATTAATAAAAAGGTGTAAAGTCTATATTTAATCAACATTTTCTATTTAAAAAAGGAAAGAGATTACATATAATTTTTCTTTTCCCCTCTAAATGGCATTTGATTCAATCAACGTGTAACATTCTTCTTTAAATAAACTTTTTCTCATTTTAAAAAAAGAACTTTAACAGACAGATTTACAACATAACTAGCTTCAAACTATATTTTTGTATTGCCTCAAGCTTTTTTTTCCTTTTTTAACTTGCTTAAATGAATCATTTTATTAATATTTTTGTGTAATAATTTCCTTCATTTTTTAAAATAGAATACAAAAATAGGCATTTATACAAATTAGGTGGAAAATATAAATTGATAAATTGAAAGTTTTACAGAGAAAAAGTTTTATTAAATTGATTGAAGATACAAGGAAATCCCTTACAAGGAAAGGGAAATACAAGGTAAGGGCAATGATAGGTCCATGAGCCCTTCAAAGCAAGAGCCTTGATTCGATCCATGTCTTGGTCAATTTTTCTCGAAATTCTAGAATTATTGTTTTATAAATTTGCTGGTTTAATAAGTCATCTGCCAATTATTTTAGGATAAGAAGCAAAAGTGGGCGTTCCAAAAAACCATCGTGAAACGCTTTGATTCGATCAAAGCAAGAGTCGTCTGTACAAAGATGTCGTCTTAAAAATCGTCTGAAAAAAAATTGTTTAAAATTGAACTCAGATCCAGCTGATGGGTCTATTGAAGATTTATGAGTTTAATAAAAAAATTCAGAGCCCAAACAAATTCTGGCAAAGGAGAGGCTGTGGAGCAGGGTTGCCGCCCGAAACCCGATACCCGAAACCCGGCCTTTTTTTGTACCCGAAACCCGATACCCGAATTGAAAATTTTCCAACCCGAAACCCGTACCCGATATTTTTTCCAACCCGAAACCCGTGACCCGAAATTGGTTAAAACCCGAAAATTCTACCCGAAATCTTATTTTTTAAAATAAAATGAAAAAATTATGTAAAGAGAAAATTCTAAAATTAGCGCCTGCGGCGCTAAAAAGGAAGAAATCTGACTTCTTGGACTTCCTAAATTCTCAAAATTTTCGCCTGCGGCGCTAAAAATGAAGAAATTTTGCTCTCTGGCCTTTAAAAATTCCCAAAATTTTCGCCTGCGGCGCTGAAAAATGAAGGAATTTTGCTCCTTGGCATTCCAAAATTCCCAAAATTTTCGCCTGCGGCGCTGAAAACGGGAGAAAATCTGAGGCTTTAATGGAAGTCAAGTGGAGAATCTTTATTAATCCTATCCAACAAGTGCTGGAATCTGACGATATCTCTTTTAATCCCTGATATATCATTGCAAGAAGTATATAGGAGGATATGCATGGATAAATGTGGATTTGGAGAGACAATGGGTGATTTGGAGGGATTAAAGGGAATTAGAGGAGGATATATGTAAGCAATATGAAAAGATTTGATGATCCGCTGATACTAAGGATGGTTCATTAATCCTGCAATATCTACCAAACCCTCCTAAATTTATTCCTTGATATTCTTCTCAATTCCAAGATATCCCTCTTAATCCCCAAATCCCGCAATGTCTCTTTAATCTCTCCAAATTTTCCTCTCTCTATATCACC